CGAGTGACTCCAATTTAATCTGAAATTCTAAAAGCTTCGTGCAATTTACTCAAATCGATTTGCATACCAACTCTTCTAGGTTTTATCGTGAATTACGTTATTTCTCGTGGTAGCTGTCTAACGCGCCAACGCGCGTCTCGATTCGAGATAAATCCGCTGCGGTCTCCCGCAATGCCAAAGTCGGCTGTGGAAACGTGAATGTAAGTAGGTGTAAAATTTCTCGCGGGCACACATTGTACGAGGCGCAAGCTGCGTAAATGCAACCGGCATACCAACAATCGTTTACGTGCGCACATATGGGACCCGATTTGCACGTGACGGATGTACCGCCTCGCGGTCTCCACGTCCCATCCATTCGCTCGTCATGTGCAACACGATACGACGACGTTAAACACTTGATTCCCGCTCTTCCTCTGAATAAACGCCGATGCTACTTACGCTACACACGAAGGACATGTTTTTTTCCTATCGAAGGTTAGGACACCACCCGACATTCCTCTCCTACATTGCGATCCGATTGGTCTTACAAGAAGGAAACGTGAGTCACTAGCCTTTGCTCAAAGATTTTTACGCAACTGAAAAGGCACACATTAGTTTGACGATCGATTAACAAGCGGATCGTAATGTCGAAAATCGTTCTGTCTGCACACAAACATACTTTTTTTTACATAATTTCTCTCCTTCTTTTTTACATTTTTTACCTTCTTTTTTTGAAAAGTTGGTTTTATAACTTTTTTCTCTCGACATGACAGAATTTTTCTGAAAGAAGAAAGCCAATTAAAATATCAATTTTTAAGAGAAGACAGGATTAATTTCAAGAAAAATGTGATCTCGTTTTCCACATTATGAAATATTAAAAAACATTCTATATGCAGCGTAATGCTTCTTAATTTTCTCCGAGTTCTCATAAATAAGTTATGATTACAATTAACCAATTCATTAATTAATCCTTCTTTTTGTCGGTCTTCTTTTATAAATAATTACTTTAATTCATCTCAATATCCGTGATCTCTATTAATAATAAAGCAAAGAGAAGTCACGATAGAACGGAAAATTATTACATTGTTATTGATTATATTTCGGCAGATATATATGCAACCTATTATACATATGACATACAAGTTTCTTTTTTGGCATGAACTACATTAGCGTTTGTCAAGTATGTATTGTATAAGCATGACTTATCAACGGCGTGACTAATCCATCACAAAAAAGAAATAGTGATGTCATACAGCGGGAAGGTGCACAATTGATGGCAGTGGGAAGGTGCATAATCGACTTTTATTCTTGTGAAATTGCACTCGCTTACTTTTACGAGAAATACCAAATATCCGTTTGAGTCGCGAATATTTATGTTTTTTTCAAAGGAGTCTTCAGAGAAACTTTGTTTTCCTAGAAATAAGGAAGGAGGAAATATTTTCATACACGCAAATCACCTTTCACCGAAAATAAGCATGCTGTCATTTTGCCGGGAAAGGAAGGCGTTGCGCCAATCGTTATTAACCGCAAATGTGCGAAACAGATGTGATTCACTCGGCCACAAATAAGCAATTATAATTAATGTAATCCTCGCGTAGAAAGACACGTGTATTATTGCACGAATAAAATTAACACTCGAATCGCCAGCCTTCGATTCGCTTCCTGCATTATTTTCAACGTGCAACGCATTCCAAAGAGAAGTCCGCTCGTAATGACGAAGTAATTTACAACGATTTTAATTAGTTCATAAATATACAATTCATTCGCGATTGTGTAATATCGAATAAAATTTCTATTTTAATCTATTGACGCGGTGAAATTCGAGATTCAAGGAGATAATCTCAACTCATTTTCATTTTTTTTTATTTCCTAGATCTTCGCGAAAAAACATAAAGTTTTAAAGATATGGAAACAATAGTAGTTAGTGTTACCAGAATGTGACAAAAAATATTTGAAATTCGTATCCGCCAGGTGAACGGCACCATGCACTTCCGCTTTGCGCGTACGATAACAAACAGGGTCCCTCGCCGAATGGTTATCGTCGCGCTCTCATGAATAACAACACAACTATTAACTATTAAGGTAAATATAACAAATATTAAAATTCATCGAAAAAGATAAGAGTTTACAGCCGATTAATATTTATCGGACTGTATCGTAACTAAATTATGCACGTGAATGAAATAAAAAATTTATTTGAAGTGCGCATTAGATTTGTTTTCTCTACGTAGATAAAGCATGATAAAAAAATTAATTGAGTGGATTTTTTTAGAGTGTAATAATAAAATGAATGTGTGTATGTGTGTATATATGTATTCGCAATGTAGGGAGCTCGAATTTATGATTCGTTAAGCTCAAATGACCGTGCGGATCACAGTCATCAGTCTGTGAAAAAAAGTCAATTACAATTTTTTTTATTTAGGAAAAAAAAGACTGCTGACAAGAATCTGGGAATAAGTCCATCTAGATTAAAGTATTTATAATCGAGGAAAAATTTAATTTTAACTTAAAAAATTATCTCTTAAACTAAACAATTTAAAATTAAGCTACCTGAGATACATCTTAAGAAAAGTCAATTACTACAAACTTAAGATCAAACATGGCAGTATCTAGCGGAGATTATTCCCAATTATAATTGCGAATCGATACGATTGCATTTTAATCGGAGCATGATAAGTTTTTGTTTATCTCCCACGTGAAAGCTGCAGTCACCTTCGTAATCGGTTGGGTGGATCGAATCAGACTCGGTTTCGAAAGACGTCCGTTGTTCGAAGCGGCGCTGCCGGTGAAAAATCTCGCGCGCGATTGGGGCCCCACCGTGCCCCGGCGCGTCGCGCGACTGTTGCGATGCATTGGCGAACGCGGCGGGACAAAGGACGCTTTCGTACGCGTACGCTCGCCGAGAGACGCCATGTTCATTTGTCAACGGACGTCAAGGTGTTCCCGTGCGGGAAGAGCGAGCAGCCGCTTGCCGCCCACCGTCGGATAGGAATCGAGAGGACCGAGGCTCGTTCGCGAGGGTGGAGGATTTCTCGCTTTCTCTCGTCTCATCTGGTCCTGCCCTGATCATGGAGAGCGGCATCGCGTCCGCCGAGTCGCGGAAACGCAAACGGGAGGAATACGAGATGCAGCTGTTCGGCTTCCATTCCCGAGCCGTGTATGCGACTCGTAAGTCGCCCGCCTGCATTCTAGCTTTCGACACGCGCGTCGCTTGACGGATCGCGTGTTTGACAAACTCCAATCAGCCGGGGATCGAGGAGAAAGGCAGACGCCGACCGTTGCGGCGGGATATTGCGTATCGCTTCTCGAAATCCCGCGGTCCCCTGCTGCTCGTCTTGTTGCCGCTGGACGGGTGTACTCTAGTTTCATGTGGCATTCGATCATGACTAGAGTCACACTCGTCCAGAGACCGGGACGCCTTCGACGGATCTATCGCGAGGGGGGGGAACGCGAGCGGGAGCGTGGCGTCACATTCGCGTACGAAGACGCTACGCCGGCCGAGAAGCGGCTCCCCTCGACGAACGCGTCCTTTATCTTGATCCTTTCCTTCAATCTCGATCTCCGTTGCACGCTTACTTTTTTATGGTCTGGTCTTTCGTGAGTCATGCGTAGATCATTATGCAAAATGTAAATTATTATCTTGTAAAATACTATGTAACTGTGCTCGTATCTACCAAGAAACTTGTTGAAAAAAATCAAAATGGCAAATTTACAAGCCTTTCTTATTTGAGAAAAAAGATTAAAATTTTTTTGAGCCCTTAGTTTGGCTTTAAATACATGTGAATTGTAGATTTTTTTCAATTACACTGAATGCTTTTGTAGTATTATCTATTGTTTTCTTAATTAGACGCTTGTAATTTATGAAAAATCCTACTTTAATAATCTTGATGATTTAATAAATTAATAAATTTAATAAATTAATAAATTTTTCTTTGTTGTAGTCAAAAATATTGTGATGGAAAGGATACAGTCTAGAAGCAGAAAGTTGTGCGAAACTTTGGAAAAAATATATAAACTAGACTCGGATAATTTGACCATGCTAAAGACAAATGAGGAAAAACTTATAAGAGCTTATTATGTGGCTTCAGAGCCTCATTTAAAAAACATTGAGGTAATTATTTTCAAATTAAATACAATCAGTTATATTTAAATACATAAATTATTTTATGTATCTGCTAAATTAAAAACTAAAATGATAATAGAAATCATATTGCATGCATGGTATTAATCTTTGTTTCATTTTCAGAATCTCGTGAACAAATTCATCGCTGTACCCAACAATGTTCTAGCGGACGAGGATAAACTTCAAGAAATACAATATACGGAAGCTGAGTTCGAGAGTATGCGCAGGAAATTAGAGGAATTCCAACAGAGAGCAAGACGCGTTTGTATTGCAATTCTAATCACTATTGAGTCAACAATATAATCACCGTTGTTCTCGCCACATGTAGATACCGTGGCACTTAAGCATTACATAACTCTTGTGGTTTTTTTTTCTAGGTGACTATATTGAACGCAGCATTAAAGGAGGAATTACAGCTCATAGAACAATTTTCGACCTGTGCGGACAATACCGATAGATTGAGCAGTATAATTGAAACCGGTGTTTCTTGTCCGGATATAAATGATAAAATTCATCAATTGGTCAAAAATTATAAAGAATTCAGTGCATTACTTGACCGGACAATACCTACGTCACAAATGTCGCTGTACAATACTATCGATGATCTCAAATGTATAGATTACGATATATGTACCTTATAATTGGTACAAAAGAATTATTTTTGCGATTCATCTTGGCTGCCAATATTACCTGCCTTTTTCAAATTATGTAAATATGTAAATGTAATATGAAAATATTTTTATATACACGTTATAAGTTATATATAAAAAATTTATAATTTTATTAAATATTTCTAATATCGAATGGCTCTTATTTTCTCGTTTTTTTCTTATAAAAGATTGCTCGTTGATATACGTGCAAAATACAAATTGCATTTAATTATATAACAGAGGTAATTATCTTTTAAACATGTTACGAAGAATCACGCAATGCGAAATATTTATATTTATCAATAAAATTATATTAGCAAAAACTTTATATGGTATCGAGTGTGAAATTTACCGCTTACTATCAGTTAACAAGTACAATTAATTAAATATTTTTACCAACGGTCGAAAAATCATCGTATCTACATTATCGGTGACCTACTCGTAATTATGCTTAGATATCGGCATTTGATTGACTAATCAAGACAAAGAATTTTATTACAATTTTATTAAAATAGATTAATCAAAAAATGCTTCGAAGCGTTTATAAGCATTTAATTTATCAACTTTTGTCTCATGCTTGCAATTCCATAATTGATTAGAAAATCATTATATAAAAAATTGTTTAAGTATAAAATCTGTTAAAATAATATAGATTTATAAAATCTTTTACAAATATTTAATATATTATATAAATTAATTTTATATAATTATAAATAATTATAAATAATTATATAAAATTAATTTATAAAAATTTTTTATTCAGTAAAAAATTTTTATGCACGAATATGTATAAATATATATATATATATAAATATATATAAATATATATATATATATATATATATATATATATTATTTATGAAATATCTTCATATATGTTCACATTAGTTCTTTTTTTTGTAAAATTTCTGATATTTTTGTTATAAGAAAATAATAGTAACGAAAAACATAAAAATAATTAAATGAATAATTTCCACATTGTTTCTTTCACAAAAAACTAAGTTTGAAGATATGAGAAAAAATTGTCCATATGTAATCAAATATGTTTATAATTAAAAATATTATATGTAATTATGATTAAAATAATTATATATATTTTTGTATATATTCTTGCATAAAAAGTTTTTTATTCGGTATGAATGAGAAATTAGATTCGCATTAATGTAACTGAAAGCAAAATTAAATGTAATATTTCATCTTAATTTAATATCCCAACAAGGAGAGTATAATTCCAATATCATGTCATTTTGTTTTTTGTCTCGCTCACGGGAGCTGTTCTGAGAATCCTCTTTTCTCTTCGTTTAACGCATAGAAGCAAGAGAACTAGACGATTCCGCGTATTAGCCTTTCTCCGTGTACATGAAAAGAGTGCTGTGTCAACATTAACCGTTCTGCTTCTCCAATTTTTTATATTATTTAATATTTATATTCTTCTCAATCTAATCTTAAATGACCATAATTTAATTATGTAATAAAATAAAATAATTGCATTCAAGAAAATATATAATTAAGACAAACTGTAAGAGATTATATTTTTCAGATAAAATAATGCCTCATGTGCATAAAAATATATAAATTACAATATGCATTGTGTTAATCGCGAAAATAAAAAGATTAAAGTAATATCAATAACATAAGGAAAGAAATTCAACTCATTAATTTATTATGATAACTCTCATATAAAAATGTCTCTCAAAATGAACATGTAAGTGAAGGTTTTTGTCAAGGAAAATTTATAAATATATATGAAAGGAGAAGATAAAAGTCTAGAAAGAGAAAGACAATTGTTTACTTTTCTCGAACTTTATAGAACACGCAATGAGCCTAGACGCAAAAACTGTTTCGCGTTGCGCTCTTCCTGGAATCGGGCCCCAAAAATCACTTCACCCCACTTCGATTCTTCTGATTCTCCTACCCCCCCAAATCTTTGCACAGAGTGTCCTGTTGCCAGTTCGCCATGTGCAGTTCGTGGGATTGCGTGTCAATGACGATGAGTAACGACGGCGAACTCGTTGGCGAGTGTCGGCGTACCATGCGACTCTTGGAGATGCTGCGTCGTACGCATTATGAGCTCGTGCAAGTACAGAGACTGATTATTATGTTTTATTTATTTCTTAATATTAGAACACATTCGTATATAAAATAATTTCTTTAGTCGATAAAAATTGGGAAGACTTGAAGTAACAACTTCAAAATATTGATGGGAAAGAGACAGTGATTTATAAAATGTACATCAGTACGTAGACATTTTTATAAAATTTTTATGTTATTGTTTTTATCTATTTTCTAATGTTATAAGCTGTATTCGACAAACAGTGAAATAGTTCTTTCTAGTGTAGGAGATTGAGAAAAATTGAATTGAAGTAACTTGAAAACGTTGGGGAGATTGATTTATAAGAGGTATAACAATATTGATTCCTCTTTTCTAATTAATGCCTTATCAATCTATCCAAGAAAGTACAATTAATCGCATTTATAAATTAGAGCTACATCTTTTGCTGGATCAGAAAAATTAACGAATATGTGTTATAAAATCTAATTTTCTTATTACATGAATAATTACAAAAAATTTTTCCTTTTTTTCTATTTCTGAATATCTAAATATCGTTTTCCTTCTATTATCCTAATTGCACAAAAAATTTCGACGCATACAGGAGAACGGACAGCGACGGTTGACGGCACCAGAAGTGGCGCGCGGCGAGCGGCAGCGGGGTAAGGGCGCAGAAGTGTTCCTGGGGCGTTTACCGCGCGACTGCTACGAGGATGAGCTGATGCCGTTACTGGAACAGGTGGGCCGTCTTCTCGAACTGCGACTGATGCTCGACTTTTCCGGATCAACGCGCGGCTACGCGTTCGCGTTGTACGAGGAACCGCGGATCGCCCGAGAGGCGTGCGAGCGTCTCGATGGCCACGAGATCCGACCGGGCCATCGTATCGGCGTGGTCAAGTCCATGGACAATTGTCGGCTCTTCTTCGGCGGCGTGCCTAAGACTAAGACCAAGTCTGAATTCATGGAGGAGTTGACTAAAATACTGGATGGCATCACGGACATCTACTTATATCCAAGTGCTTACGATCGCAATCTGAATCGCGGCTTCATCTTCGTCGAGTTCCAGGACCATCGAGCAGCCGCGATGGCTCGGCGCAAGCTCATCCCCGGCAAAGTGATGCTGTGGGATCACGAGATCGCGGTGGACTGGGCAGATCCGGAGCCGGGCGATCCGATCGACGAGGACATCATGCAAACGGTGAACTTTTAATTTTTTTCAAAATTGGAAAAATGATAAAATTGACAACGACGTCGATCCATCGTTTTACAATTTTACAATTTCTTTTTTTGGAGATAATTCAACATTACCCTTCCTCCCGTTTTTCTCCCGTTTACGATTCGATATTTTATTAATTTCCCATTTAACAATATATAATAAAATGCAATAATAATTGTGAGTATTTGAAGAGATAATTGATCAATATGAACGAGAAAAGATAAAAAATGTATAATTTTATAAAATAAAACATGAAAAAATGTTTTATTAACGCTTTACCGAACATATGTCATTATTGAAATAGAGATTGAATAAATCGAAGCGTTTACATAAATCGCATTCTGTGTAATTTTATATAATATATTCTGAATCAGAAAAGATTAAAAAAATAACATATCTTTTAGTTTTCATGTCTGATAATTTATTAGTCATTATTGTAACTGTTTATTATTAATTATTGAACTAATTTGATAAAAATTTATTGACTAGTACATTTTTTTCAACATTAGAGAATATGAATAAGTAGTAAATTTATTATATTAAAATTATTTTCATGTTGATTGAACTCATGTTGATTAAATTAAGTATCCTGACATAATTATAATAAAAAAATTCTCTCCTTTTTAATTTTAAAAATAAAACCTATGATATAATAATATAATATGGGAATGTTTTAAAAAGAGCGTGTTGTAAAATATATCGTTACAAATCTCACATTTCATATATCACTGTATATTATTGTATATTTTATATATGTACGCGCGCGCGCGCGCGCGCGTGTGTGTGTGTGTGTGTACGTACGTATATATGTATGTATCTATATGTGTATATATAGTGGCACATGAAACAGGACATGTTGTACTAACTCAATATCGTACGTGATGACAAATAGGTGACGGCTCTGTTTGTAAGGAACCTCACGCTCGATATGCCGCAACAGAAGGTGAGGGAGATTTTCTACAGGCACACGAACGTGCCGATATTAAAGCTAAAGAAGATCAATCATTTCGCTTTCATTCACTACGAAAATCGCGAAGCCGCGCAGACCGTAATGGACATAATGCAATGTGAGTATGCAAGCAACGTAAATTTTACTTTATTTTGGATTTAAAATAACATTTAGCTTTTACATTTAACTTTTTATATAAGTACCTTTACTTTTAGATCCAGGTAGCATCGTCGAAGAACAAGGTTGGGAGATCCGTTGGGCGAAACCTATTGGAGCATCCAAGATTCTAGAAAGACAACGATACATTCGTGAAGCGGTGGCCAACTCGAATGTTCAGAAGATCGAAATTTCGCGCTCAAAACAAGGCAAGAAACGTTGCATCAAGGCGATTGAGAAAACTCAACTCGAAGATGACAATGTTTACTTGGCACAGATGAAAATTCTGCAGAACTTTGTCCAGGAGAACTTTGATGCAATATGCACCTTTGACTGCATACAAGTGCAGGATGTTCCCGGATATATTGGCAAAGTAAATGTTTCTTATTTAAAATGTCCGGATTTTTTATTTATATCTGATAATATATTTCTTTTGTATTGTTTTAGATTATTATTCACAAAGATGAGATAATCATGTTCGAATTTCAAGGGGAACCAATGGCGTCGAAACATAAAGCTCTGAGCGCGACCTCCCTTAAAATGTATCAATATTTGAACGGCGCGAATCATGGTACGTATAACATTTTGGCTTGTGTTATATTAAAAGCTTTTGATTATTTTGTTCTCTATTTGTACGTTGAATCAAAGGCGATTTTTACAAAATACTTCTATATACGGATTAATTCAATTCTGACCTGACAACGAAAAACATGTGTGATATTTACAAAATTTCGATTTTCAATAGTAATCGACAAGTACCGTTTACCATAAAATCTCGTTCGCTCTTTGTTTACCTCGTAAAATATTTTTGCAATACACAATGCGTTGCGTTTTAACGCTATTTTGCACGTATTTTTGTAGCGCCGCAGCCATTGGCACAATATTACGTTCAGCCAAGAATAGACATGAAACCTGTGATTGGTGCGCCGATTGTTTGGCATTCAGGAATAATCCAAAATTAAATTTACGATCAGTTTCTATTGTCTTATCATTTGCTGTTCATATATAAAATTTATTGACATAATTGCAAAAGAATTTGATAACTATTCATCATCTATTTTTAATTTAGATATTTTAATAATTATTATTATCGATATTAATTAGATATAGAATAATTATTATTATCGATATTAATTAGATATAGAATAATAATTATTATCGATATTAATTTATGGAATTTTTCGGCTCAATATTTAATTTTAAGTTACAGTTCTGAGACAATGTATTTTCAAATTTTAATTTTTCAGATATATTTGACTCTATTTGAATGCTAATAAGATATATAAATTTTAAATTATTACAATTTGTAAAATTATAATGTTTGATGAAATTTTAATCTATTTAAATATACATGGCCATTTATTTTAATAATGATTGTGAAGTTTTTTAATTCAAAACTGATCTTAAATCGTAATTCTTAGACAACTTGTACTTTTGAAGAAGTACTTAAGATATATTGAAAAATAAATGATTAAAGCTTGTGTAATGATTTAATGAAATTATAATCTATAACAAATCTTTATGATTATTTACACCAATGGCCATTTTAAAAAATATAGTTTTGCAATGCGATGAATTCTCTCCTGAAATGTATTTCATTCATAATAATTTAGAAAATCTGATACTTACAAATTCCAAATACTGCCAGAGAGTTTATAACTTTATTTATTCTTTTATGCAGTTAAATTCTTTATGTTAAAAATTGTTATTTTATTTAAATTAAAGTCCTTAATATATACGTTTATCACAATTAATAGATGTTCTTTTAAGTTTTTTTATGGAAAATAAAAGATTAATTCTACGTTTAAATAGGATACCGGCTGTGTTTGGTATAATCGTTTTACAAATGTACGAAGTTGAAACAAATGTGTTACATTATCGAATCTGCGATTATATGTGTTTATTTCGTAATACCTCTATGTATAAAATATAATAAAGGCATTATTTTTGTACAAAATTTATTCTTATTTTATCTTTTTATCTTTATTCTCTCTCTGTTAACACTGAAAAAAATATTTCTATAACAAAAAAAGTTTTATGTACATATTACTATATATTAAAATATATAATCGCGCAATTTTTTTATTTATTCATTTTAAATTCATACAAATACTGAATAAGAATGAAGGAAGGTTCGATTAAGAGTTCTCTCAATTGTAGAGTAAAATAATAAATTGACGTAGAAGCGTAGTCTAAAGACTTTACCTTTATCTTAAAAGAAGTCCCTGAGAAGACAGAGACAAAGCGCGTTTATCATTTCAACGGAAAGGGGCTCAGCGCCCTTTGCATCGGCGGCAGAATCGTGGAATAATCCTCTAGAATCCTTCGCACTGTTTCGTAATCGGTATCGCCAATGGCATTGCGCGGTCTCATGCAATGCACTAATCGCTTGGCCTGTTCGCTGCATCCGGTCGCGCTGCTCCTCTCCTGCGCGCTGAAGGTCTCGTACGTAAACTCGAGCAGTTTCTCTACAGCGCAGTCGAGCACCTTATCGCTCGGCAATTCACCGCGACCACTCTCAATGCAGTCCTTGATCACAACGTTCATCCAGTTCCAATCCTCCCACATATCCGATATCTCGACCTTTTGATTCTCCAATTGCCACGTCAAGCGAGCGCGATACCTGAGAATGTGTTATATATGTTAGCACATCTATATGACAAAAAATTATTTCACTAACATTTTTTTATTTATTCAGAAACGATGATTAAGCTCCTTATTGAAGAAATTTAATTTTGCAAAATACTAAATTCTGTATGAAAAGAAAAATTTCGTAATAGATTACTCCAAGCTGATAGCGGAGTAACTTCTAGCCAATATCTTAATATTACCTCGATATTTTGATGTAACTTACGGCCATTTCCACGGGTTCTTGCTGAATCTCACTCTCTTCAGATTACCCAGATAAGCGAACAGGCTATAGTCGATGTAGCTGAGTTGATTGTAGTCGAAGTAAAAGTTCTCCAAATTAGGAAGCATCTGAAAAACTCTCCAATCGAGCCACTGGATGAGGTTGAACGATAAATCTAGAGTCTGCAGAGAGTACATGTTCATGAGCCATTCTGCCGGCACGTTCGTCAGTTTATTGCCCCAAAGCATCAGTTTTTTCAACTTAGTAAGGCCTATGAATGCCTCAGCATCGCATGTTTGTATACCCGATTCGTGCAGGTCTAAGGTTTCAAGGGTCGCTCCGAATTTTGCGAAACTGTGCCTTTGGTGGAAGGTACGAAAAAAAATTATGGATTACTTCGACGACATGATAAATTCGCAAAAGCGCCTGTAATATATTCGATAAAAAATGAATATTCAGAAGAAGAATAAGTACGAATATTTCGAAATTATAAAATAATGAGACAATGATGCTAGACATTTCAAAAAAGAGTAAATTTGAACTTGTATATTATAGTGTATAAAAATTGATTATACCAATTCTTTTCTCACAACTTCCAAATGATTTCTTTTACGTTCTTACCCAGATATGTTAGGTATATTCGAATCGAAAATTGTGATGCTCGTCGTGTTGGTCCACGCTTGATTCAAATTATTTTCCAGCGTCGTCAATTGAGTGCATCGAAAGTCAACATTATTTTTTTGCTTGTACGTGATCGTCTCGCATGGTGATTCCAATAAAGCCACTTGGAAGAGTATATAAAAAAAATAAATTAATAGCAAACGTTTCATTGTAGCATTCGCTCGCAACAAAATCATTGACTAAACTAAGCGTCCTCGAAACGAGCGGTACGTGACAACATATGATGTGGGCGGACATCCTCCGGTTCATTTTTTCCTTTTGTCAACGATAACACAAATCAGTATAATCGAATAACCAACATTCTACGCATCTACTTTTATCACGATGAATTATATAGTACGTTTTTATAAAATGTCGCTCGATGATTATATTATCGTATGTTAGAAAACGGATGTGTTTTTACAAAACGTTTTACGTAAATAAGTCTACTTTAGATAAATTGCGTCAGGAAATTCGAGGATAGAATTCTATTTATGATTTTATACGCCGAGTATTTTATATATGTGCGTTTTAATATATATTTTATATACATATGCGTCCCTAGTCTTTCAAATATTTTTCATATTATACAGCATATAAAATTATAAATAAAATTTTATCTTTAATTCTGCCGCAATGTAGAAATTATAGATATTCTAAAGCTTTAACGATTATATTCATATTACATGTCTCAAATATTCTATTTTTTTTTGTTTAGTTAAAAGAAAAAAAGGAAAGAAAAATGCTGGGATCTCCTGAAAGAGGAGAATCGCTCACGGATGATAGTAGAAACAACATTTATTGTCATACATATATACATGCCATAATTTTCGTTAGAGTTAAATACAGCTGTTTCCTAGAGACGAATGAATCTACTCAGTCAGTTTCTAAAGACCAACGAATTTTGAATTCAGTCGATTTTTAGTATGGACCCCTCATTAATTACTGTATCAACATATACGCTTATTTATTAATCGCGCGATAATTACACGAATCAATCGGAACGACTCTCCTAATTCTTACGTTTAATAATGCCTACTATTTGAAAAAAATGTAAAATGGTGTTCCATCATCAAAACAGAAAAATATTGTACGTCAATTTGTCGTATTATGTTATGAAAAATTAATAGCTAGCGGATACTGTATCGAATGTATAATGATGGCAGTTACAAGCGTGCGATTTTAACAGCGTGATCGTCTATTTTTCAGATATATGTAACTACATTCTTTTTTTATTGTCATAAAAACGTTTCATTATTTACAGCAAAATACTGATGGTCTCGATGCAATGCATCTCCATCGCGTTTTTTTTTTTTTTTAATACCTAAATAAAAATATGGCAGAGAAAATTATTTCAACATCCATTACACTGCGATGTCTTTCAATAACAGGAATTACGGTCCGATTTCGTTGTAACTGAATGCTCTCAACATCTTTATCAAAATCTTGCTCTTCGTTTTAGTTACGAGCGAAGATCACCAAGATAACCATGGCGAAATACACGTAACATGATCGTGTGTGATCGCGTGATGATTTAACTCCATTTTGGGCGCCCAGATGCGTCGGCGTCAAGTGCGCCGGTGCTGGTGCCGGAAACGCAGAGATCCTCGACTTGTTCGCAATATTCGGCAAAGAGGAAGAATTCCGTCTGGACATCGGCGTCGTGTGGCTCACGTCCTTCGAAATTATCTCTAACTCCCCTTTATCGTGTATATACGAGTATTTCTTTCCTTTCTTCTCCGTTTGCTTTCGCCAGGTATGCTTCTCGATGATTTCGGTATTTCGCGTGGAGACTGTCGTCGATTTGGATATGTGTAGCTCTGCAATTTGATTTTGGAGAAACGGGAATAATTACGGCTACTGTCTGACTGATTAAAAGACTAAATTGAGCGCGTAAAAATTTAATATAGAAATTATATATTAAAATTTATAATATATAAATTAACTTTAAATATATATATATATAAATTATAGAAAATAATGGGTTTTCTGAGATCTTTATTATATGTACACGTGTTATATTTTTAGATTGTCACAAGACATAATTATTTTTGGTGGAATTCAATAAAATTTAATTATTACATTTAATATGAATTTTTGAATATTTGTACGAAAATAACGATTATTGTACCTTGTAATCTTATGGATCCCTCCGCTTTTCCAAAAGCGTTTTCAGCGGAGCACGTGTAAGTGCCGAAATCAGATTTGTCAAGGCGTCTGACAGTGAGATTTAGCTGATATGCATAGTCGTTGATAGTTACTTCCGATATGTTGTGTTTGTCGCCTTTCAGCAGTTTGATCCCCGAAGTAGATGTCTTCAGAGGTAATTCTATTAAGAATATATTTACATCTATATTTAAAAAGAAAATCCTTCTCTATTAATATCTCTTGGGGGAACGGAGGAGAAAAGTTTCAGTATAAGAATATATCTTCAGTAACTTAGAAAATTTACAACGCATATACATTTTAATCTTTTTGATAAAATTATTAATTCAACAGAATGACTCGATTTCATTGGAATAAATAATAAAACTGGCGTGACTATCCTCGCAAAGAGAATAGCGGAGCGATCTAAATTTTCATCAAATTTTCATCAAAATCGCCATATAAAAATTTTTAGTATTTTATAGTATTTCAATCCTGACGCATATGTGATAAAATCGAAATTAAAAGACATTCTCAGAAGAAACAGAAATGTTATATATTTCTCCAATGAATTTTTCACGAAATGCTGTGCCAATCTGGCACGAAGAACAAATCAATTAACAGGTAAATCGGCTAAATCGATAAATGAAAAATTTATTCCAATAATGGCTAAAAAAAAGAGAACCATTACCATACCAAGCATCTAAACTTGATACAAGCTTATGACAACTTGTGCTCGAAAGGAATTGACGAAGTATCTAATGTACGTTCAACAAACGTTACATATACAATATTCTCTCACCATTATTTCTGTACCACGTGTTCAGAGCCTTCGGCGAGGACTCTACGTAACACTGAAGGAGGACGTCGCTGTCGACGGGCGCCGCTACTAACTGGTTTGAGACTTTAATCAGCGGTTTGACTTTAACGAGAAAGATGTAATTAGTCGTGCAACTCGACCGAAACGAAAATCGCAACCCCCGTAGCAGCACACGTAACACTTACAGCGGACGTTGACTTTATATCTCTTGCTGACCGATGGCGGCACTCCGTTCGACGCGATACAGAGATAAGATCCCATCTCCTGTCGCTGAATGCCCCGCAGATGAAGCTGCTCACCCTCGAACGTCCGCGCTGCTTTAATATTTCCGACGTGATAAAAAGATCCGAAAATCCAAATGTCTTTCAGACGTTCTCAATTTTCGACACAACACTCTTATTCACATTGACCGATTTATTTTTCACATATCACCTTCTTTCTGCCGAGGAGATGCGCTACATCACCCGCACAGTTTCTCTTTCAATAAAATTGAAAAGAATTCTAATAAATAATGAACGGTCCCCTCGATATTATTCCAATGAGAATTTTCGTCCCCGAGAATGCTGAATAAAAGATCTGCGTTTCGAACGTTTCATCTGAATGTCATGAAAAAAAAGTTGTCCATTCTTTCCGTATACGTTACGCATAAACGTGCGTCCAAAGACTGTCGTTACGTAAGGATCCGGTGATTAGAGACTTTCGAGACAATATAAAACCGAGATTCTGATGTATGACGGCGGAGAGGAGACGGCGAAGTCATTCTGGCGGGATGGAGATACCGCGGTGGCGTAACGCTCTCCCGACGCAGTGTACACACTGGATATTGCAATCGGGTACGTGAGTCGATAGAAGGGGAGGGGGGGGGGGAATCGCGGCGAAGAGGAAATATATGTAAAGTCAACATCCATCACTCACAGTCAGGAAGGCTAATCGGATGGCTGCTTTTCCGCGGGACACGGCACGACGGACACCGACGACGGGGGTTCGCTCCGTCGTCGTACACCGCCGCCCTTTTAAAAGTGATCCGCTCGCGGGGAATATTTTCATCTTGAAAATCACACCCCCGCGCGCGCTGCTCGCATCAATTAAAGATAAATCGTCAGACGTACGGTTTCCGTTTTAGCTACAATCAATCGCGTCCCTTTGGACTCGGCGTCATAATCATTAGTCATAATCCCGACGCGACGGTGGGAATTTTCATCTATTTTCGGCGGGGGCGCATTTAACGATATGCCTCGGTGGAATTTTAATTCACCATTTTAAAGACCGCGACGGGCGATTATATCACTTTCACGAGATAATATAAGCATTATCGTTTAATTAACAACTAATCAAATTCGAATATGGGTTTCTATTATATTCCATATTGTATTACTTTTCAGTCTGATCGCATAATAAGCATGTTCCTGTCAACGTTAATTATTTCGTGAAATATATATATATATATATATATATATATATATATATATATATGTGTATGTATACGTCGTAAAATATATCAGTGTCTCTTTGAATTTTCATGCAAATCGCGGAGAACGAGGATAGAGGACATTTTATTTCTACATCATTTCCTCTTTTCTAACTTAATTTTTACGTCTTCGTTTTACGTGTCTCGTTTGATTCCCTCGCGTGCATTCGCCAAAACGTTTTGGATCTACTTAGCATCGTACTTTGCTTGGTATGGTTCTCGTTCCTCAGCGTGATGTTTCGGCCGTCTTCCCGTCGCCAGACCACGACAGGTTCCGGATTACCGGTAGCTCTGCACCGCAATAACAGATCGCCGTTTTCCTTGGCAGTTAGCATATCCGCGGTGTCATCCAGATCCATGATATCGGGCGGTATCACGACCTTCATGTGGCCGGTCTGCGCGCAAGATCCGCATTCGTTACTATTCGGGAAAGTGCCGATCTGTACCTAACTACTGTACATTCGATAAAATCGAACTTAATTAACGAGAAACAGTTTCGATATATACAACAATAGTGCAATATTCAAAATTGTAAATATTAATTAATATTGTCAGTCTTTAATTTTTCTCTGACGTACTTATAATTAACTTGGAAAAAAGATGAAAAAAAAAAGTAGGAGAAGTCAAAAAGGTATCCCCTGTATATAACTAATCTTTAGACGAGACAAATTTGCAAGTTGAAGCGAGAAATTTGAAAAAAAAAAAAAAAAATATTAGCTCAATTTAGAAAAAAAATAGCTTATCAAAGGGAGACTATTACGAGCGTTTCCCGGTTTGAATGTTCTCCGTTTTGTACGGACATAAACGCGGCGTGTATACGCCGCATTCACGCGACATTTGCGTTACATAGAAGGACGGGACGACGTATCGTCCCCTATTCGCCGGCAACGTAGAACGTGATAGAGAACAGCGATGACTGTCGCGCTAATGTTCAGCGGCTCTACTGACCTGGCTCCTCATAGGATCCGTATTAACTTGACACATGTACGTGCCGGAGTCGTTCGGCTGAACGTTAGTCACGTGCAGCTTCCATGTGTTATGGCCGTTGTGAGTGACGGACAGGCGAGGGTTGTGCGCCACCATGTGCGTGTGAATGGCCAAAATCGCACGCGAATCCGACTTTATCCAGGCGACCTGCGCGTGACGTGACAAAGGTGCTCATTTCGCCCATTTAATAATTTAATGGACCACGTATAAACGACAATTTGAAATCAAAATTATATAAAGCGCAGCTAATATGTTAAATATGATTCATAACCATCTATCAACTATGTTTGACAATCGGTGTAAACTTACTAAATTTATTTGCAAATTTATAAAAAAATTCGCAAATGACGAGTGTTTTGCATTTCTGCCTTTTATAAATATCTTTAGGGAATATGCATTTCTTCGTAAACATCCCGGTCGTATCCAATAATGAAATGTTTACGAAGCACCGTTAACGTAATATTTGAAAAATGTACGTTTAATTTAGCTCGCGATGTTGTCAAGTTATATTTATGCAAATCATAAATGCGTACGTGAGTAATTGATAAAGTGAGTAATTGATAAAGTGAAAGTAAAAAAGCCAATAAATCGAACTTTTATGTGAAAGTTGAGGTAATTTTACCTTCTAAGTTATTTGAAACTCAAGCGATTGCATTTCACGATTAACGATTAGGAAATGTTAAGAAAATAATAAATAAATTAATAAAGTAGAGAAATAATTGAATAAACAAATATGTTATAAACTAAACGACCTATACGATGTATGCTTTTCACGAAGCTTTTTGCGCGAACGCAACAAAAGAATGCCGTAAAGATAATAACGTGGGATACGCAGAAGAGATTTTTGGTCTTTCTCGTGCGAGAGGGAAGCTCGCGTTTTGCATAAGAGAAGAACGGAGGGAGATCGAGCTACCTCGTATGAAGACTCTTCATTAGCACGGTGGCGGGGTGGTGCTTAAAAAGCGCTGGGGTGCTTGCGAAAGGCGCTTATCGGTATTCATACCGAAACACCGATGCGGCGTTAGGGGTTGCACTCTGAAATTCCGCTCGGGTTTACGCCGCTACAACCCCTATTCCGCGCTTGCAGCCTCCATCTCTCTCAGCGCCGACTTGGGTCGGCAGCCCGATCTGTCATATTTCAGACAACGACGGAGCCATTCAGCGGGATAAAAGGGCTTTTAAATCGCGGACAAAAGCTCGTGTCGCCGTGCTTCGATCGGCAAATGGAATTTAAGGTATGGGATAAATAAGGTAAGGGCAAAGAGTATCTACCTGTTGGAAACAGAGCTTTCGCGGTGACAACCCGCTTGCCAGGATCACGTTTCGTGATCCTACGTGGATCAGGAGCAATCGGCCCAGTGTCCATCCGATATGTCTGACGCGCGCGGCATGGTCTACATGACATTGCATCTCAGGGTATTGCATTTACGGCGGTATTACGTGACATTCGGTTACTAAATTTAGTTGAACTTAGATATCCATGTGTGGCCTGTCGAAATTTCGCATTTCTACGTCGCATTTGCTCGTACTTGACGTACGCATTTTTGAAAAACGATATTCCGTACGATATTATTATTATATTTTTTTACACACATAGTAAAAAAAAAACGTCTATCTTTGTCAATCAATTTGAAACAGATTATTAACGTAACAGTACGCGCGTTTAATTACAAGGGTTGAGTTTCTCATGGAGAGACACAGCATCGGAGGCTTTAGATAGGGCTGCACCGATCGTTACACGGGACTGTGGTAAGGGGTTAAATTTCTGAGATTAGACGCTATTGGATGCACGAGACGCGGTTATGTGTAACGTGACGATGAGTTCGACGCAGCTGCCAAATTAAATAGCTTTCGATTCAGATATCTTAACGCGAGAACGAACGTGTTTTTTGTTATGCATTATGGTGAATTTTGTTCCTCACCGTCACGCAAACGTGCAGTGGTAAAGGATTTCCTCTCTTTTCTCTGTGTGGAAAACAAAGTATGCACACGTTGCGAAAAAAAAAATAAATCATATAAAAAATGTATACTGGACGTGATTGAACAAAACGAGAATAGAAAAAAAGATAAAGAGTAAAAATATAATATTTTACGTGCGCGCACGCGAGGTTTCTTTCCGCGTCGACAATACATCCAAACGAGATGGGAAATGAAACAAGAGAGTAAATGTTATCGCAGTAACTGATCGGAAATTGAACAAAGTCGAGATTGAAGATTTTGACTTCACACGAAGGTATAACATGATTGCGAATGCATAGAAAATACATACAAAAAGACGTACAAAGAATCATTAAAGATCTTTCAATTTAAACTTCTCTCCACAATTTCGCGATAACAAAAATTCACAATACGATCTAATAATTACAATTCTATAATTAATAATAAATTGTGAGAATGAAAAAAATTTATATTTTCATATATTTTTTTTTATACGAAATCAAAGAATAATAAATGTTAAAAAACTTAAAACATATGTACAAAACAAAGAGATTAAAATCGGCGGAAGTGATAGAGGATCTCTACAAATTGATTAATTTTTATAAATATTCCAATCAAACAATAATAGTTTGTGGATAAAATAAATATATTCCTAATAATAAATTATTAATATCGTGCGAAAATTATATAATTATTTGTTTCAATACAAGTTTAAATATTTAATTCTATATAATTGATTATTGGCGCATATAGATAATTACAAGTATCCGTGCGAGCTTCGCTACGCATAAATTTGGCGACAAGCCAATCCGTGTCTCTTAATTCATCATCGGGTTGTAAATTTAAGTTTGACGCTGTTGCATTGCAAAATTACGGCTATTCTCCTTTCTATCTAATCGCCTTCTCCGGTTGAAGGGCACGAAGTGCATACAAACGGTGTCGCAAAGTCAGCGCGAATTGCACGGGGAAAAGGAGAGCGAAAAGAAGGAGATGTACGGCGACAAAAATCAGGGCTATTCAGCCGGCGCTATATTAGCGGATCTGATTTATGTCCTTTCTTCCGTCGTTTCCTTTCTCTTTCCGGTAGGGGGGAGCGAGGGGAGAGACCTTCGGCACAGCCGCGAGCGACAAGGCGGCGACGAGCATCTCCACGAACACGCTTCAACGGCGTTAGAAACGCGATAGAAACGATTGTCGCGATTCGAGCGTGCAATCAAAACTTGGACTTCTTCTTGAAAGTGAATTACCCGCGACTAGGGTCCATCCTAGAAGAAATTCCCTGGATTCTGGCGCGTACAACCGAACAACCGAACCTTCCTCACAAACGCACGTACACACGTCAGCGATTGCGGATACACAAAGAGCGAACGTTTCGACGTTAAATCGTGATCAATGTTGACACGGGGCGACGATTGCGACAAAACAAGCGAGTTGCCGACACAGCAGCTAAATTGCTAATAAAAATTGGTAGCATCTGGAAAAGTAAACATACAAATATCCTCGAAACGCTTAAGGATAAACACGACAGGTTGCAATGCACGGAGTCAACCGACTTAAAGGTGAGATTAGATTTTCTTCAAAATGTCAAGATTTTCGAGTAATCAGCGATTGAAAATAAACAGCTTTTCACGAGTAACGAGGGTTTGAAAGAGCAAATATATCGGAATTAGTCAGCTAATTTTAAGTCTGCTTCAATAGAACCTCCATTCGACGTTTAATTGCAATAATATTTAAAGATAAAAGTTGAACAAAGAGGTGATAAACGATAATGTGGAAAAATTAGATTCTAAAGATTTCCTACCAAAATTTGTCATTAACACTCATTCATTTTCATTTGATTTGCGCAATATTATGTATATATTTGCAAAATTAGATTTGAGGAGACACGCGCGTTGAGATTTTCGTTTTGTTCTCTTACAACTCTCTTAATGTCCGGTCTTCGTGTATCCATAATTATTTTGCAGCGTAAGAATAGTACGGTGGATGGAAGAAGCAGCGTGGTAAGATCGATCGGAATAGATAGTTTAACCGATACGAGAGCGGCGCTGCCTTCCTCGCTGTCTCTCTCGATACATTCTCCCCGTTTTGTCTTTCTGTCGCTGGAAAATGCAACGAGTCCTCGATGGTTTCGCTTGATTTGCATTGTCTCGCTATGCAAATCCAAGGAAAACATCTTGACATTTGTGACGTCGCTCGCGGCTTCTCCCTTAGGAGTTCAAAGAAACGATCGATACAAAAAGTCGACGGATCGTGCATATCATTTTTACGAAAGCTTATCTTTCCATATGTAGGTAGGTATTGTTCTTCCCTATTATAACGTAATAACGTAATGTCAATTGAAAAATAGTCTAATCATCGTACTCGATAAAATCGATCTCCCGGACGAGTGGAACAGTCTGCGCGACTTAAACTTTGGAAAATTTAAAACTCTCTTAAATCTTAAATTCTAATATAAATTTTATCTAAGAGTCGAATAACATAATTAGCACGAAAGAATTTAATTTGATTGTAATAAAATATTGAAATATTTCGGTGCTCTTGAAATATTTGGAGTCTTAAATATTTGTCAACTTTAATTATTAATTGCTCGTAATATCGCTGCTTCATTTTTAGTGCAAAGATTAAAGTTTCGCTTATTTAAAGTACTTAGCAAACGCACATTGCTTTGCAATTAAGCGTTTTTGAATAATCCAAACTAGGAGGTAGGGGTCTCGCTTAATAATCAAACGGAATAATATAGTTCCACGTGGTTATGTCGCAATTACCCGGCAATACAATCCGTCTATGTTGCGTCCAGTGTATTAAGTGAAAATACGATCTAGGCCACACTACTTACTATTTCGAGCGGTGGCCCTAATCGACTAGCTAATTACAACACGCGCACGAGCGTGAATATATTTACCTTGTAAGACTGGAGATGATTAACGACGCAGGTGAAGGAGACGTCGCGACCTTGAGTGACCGTGTGATTTTCCAAGAGCGCCAGAAATTCGGGCAGGATCTCGGACTTGGGTGGCGTTTGTCCTGAATTATGCAATTAGCAATTATGCGCCAGCGATTATGGCTAAAACGATCCGCGAAGTTAATCCTTAATTAGTCCGCCCTGCGGGCCAACTTGCCGCCGATATCGCTGCCGTTACGAATATGATATATGATATGGATGGTGCATTAGGGGAGTTTCGGGGAAACCGAATACAAGAATGCCCATCACCCACCTTTTTGCGCTGGGCGAGCAAAATTTAATCTAGATCGTCGCGTTACTTATGCACGTGACGAGCGGCCAGTGGGCCATGTTACCACGTGATCATCATAATTCTTTCTTTGCGTTGCACTTTTGATTATACCGTTGGTGTCCGTCCCGTACGAGATGGATTTAGAGAACGTTAATTTTGAATTAAAACTAATTTTAAGGTTTGCACACATTTCGTTCTCTTAATACAATGGATAAAATTGGCTATTTTTTTTTTTTTCATATACAAATATATGTATACTTGATCGATATGTTTCAACTCGATAATGTTTCAAAATTGTTTAATATGTTTTATTAATTTTATATTATTTTACTGGATTTAATGGATCTTCTAGAATGTTCTTTGTTTTAACATTTTATTACACAGGAGAGCGCGCCGCATTATATTGGAGTGTTTATTAACCGCATCAAATTCTTGGATTCCGTAATCCTCGCACGTCACGATATTCACCCTTCGCATTCTCGCGTGGCGGCCGCCAATTCGATGTGACGTTACATTTCAGGAGGGTCGCGCGTTCATCCTCGCAATAACTATGGATGGAATAGGCGAAAGAAAAAAAAAAAGAAGATGTATACTTCCTGTATCTTTCTCGGCTAACTTTTCGAAACGATCACGCGAGCACGAAGGAAAGGGGAGAAAGTTTCGCGAGAACGGGGTGTTTATTAATCACGTAGAACACGGCCGAGCGAAAGTTCGCTGACTTGTGGAGTAATCATCATCTATCATGATCTATCGCGTGGAAAGATTACCCCGAAGACCAGATAGTATTTTTGTTGATTCGCACATGCGAGTCAAGTGCTCGTACATTACAATTCGAGCTTGTTGTAATCTACGTAACAGATCGATCACTTCGAATTAAAGAGAACTTTCCACAAACATTGAATAGTAAGAATATCAAAATTCTCAAGATCTAAGATGAATTAAATTAAAATATATTTTGTATTTTCTTATCACAATTATTTTACATAAAACAATCCAATATTTCGCTTAAATGAATTTCGCTTAAAAAGGAACGGTGGATTTAACCACACTCGCCAACTCCATCAAATTTCCTGCATGTTTTTCATTGTTCGATAATTCGAAGTATACGAACTACTAAGGTTTAGGTCCAGGGTTAAATATCAATATTTCTTGGAAAGAATTTCGCAATTTACAGTCAGAGTGATAAACGAGCAGCGGTAATAAATAAGTAAACGTAACGATACAGAATGCGAGCAACGTTTCGTATCTCGAGGCGGGGGGAAAGCCGGCGGCTTATGCCACTTTGCAACTCCTGCAACTTCTTTTTAAGCGAAGATTCTTTTTAAGCTCTCGCGGAAACGCGAAAGGCTACCATAGCGACGTCTTCTGAGAAGAATTCTATTTGATTTTTACTGTAACTGGAGCAAAGAGAGGCGGTACAAAAGTGGCGTAACGGGCACGATACCAATCGCGGTGATCTCCGTGTAGAAAGAGAGGAGGAAATTCTGTCATTTCGTGCGGATTAAAAACTTGTAACTTTTACTTCTCCTCGTAATTCCCCAGCCAGATTCTCTTTTTTCTCTTGCTTCTCGCAGAGATCTGTGCGGCACGAAGACACTTACCTTGTGCCCAAGCGGTACATTCAACTCTTACCGAGACTGGTGCGGAAGAAGGCGATGATGAGGACGCAGAGTGCGACGTTCCGCGATGCCATGCCATAGGGTAAGCCATACGCCATACGTACTGCAATATAAAACGTGATACACATTAAATTAGAGTGCTGTGTTGTAAACGTATTGAGCGAACTGAGTAATAACGTCACACTTAGAATGAAGACTCTTATTTGGTATCTTTTAATTATTTTATATTTATTCTTTCTAATTTCTAAGTAGGAAATAATTTATTTGTAAATTTTACAGTAAAATTACCGTAGAATTTACAGTTTAATTTAAAATCGATTTAAAATTGATTGAACACGAGTAAAGACCATGCAAGCTGAAATGCTTGGAAAGTTCTCTTGTTAAAATAATTAAGTTTGAATCAAACTATTTAAATATAATTACGATAATTTTAGAAGTGATATTTTGTTATCAGTAAGCGATAATGTACAAATGTGAAAATAAATAATAATAATAAATAAATAATGAATATTTAACAAAAAAAGAAGAGAAAGGAAAAATATTGATATAGAAATTTGTAACAGACAGACGTACGTTTTTTTATTTATATTTTTATCTGAATTTGCAATATATTAAGCCACAAATAAGAATCAACAAACTGCGAGATCAAAGGCAGAAAAGCTCACGTGCGTTTCTTTCACCGCTGAAAAGCAAAATGAAATAAACAAACCGACTCCAGAGAAACGTGAAAATATAAAAACTGCAAAAAATCGGCAAAAATTGTTGTAAAAGATATATTTCAAAATCCAAACGTCAAAGAAGTTTAATTGCTCAAGAAATAAAATAATTAAATACGATATGTAATAATTCAGTTTTCTTATATGTTATTTCGTAAACTTCTAGTTTGCGGTCATAAACAGTCATAATTAGAATTTTCGCTAATATAATATATTAAATTTTGCGTGAGAGGAACATATGAGGGAGTTGTTACGGTGAGGCGACTAGCCTTGGGGGCGAGAGGGAGGAGAGAGAGGTCGGAGCCGAAATCGAGAATTTCGCGACGTCGTCGACGCGTGCTCGGAACGAGGATACGGAGGGAGAGGACGAGGAGGGGGAGGGGAGGGGAGGGTCGGTCCCGAATCGCGTGAATATTAACTCGACAGTTGGTCGCCACATAAACGCCAACCCGCTGATATATTCCCTGTTCACCCGTTGCCGACCGGCCAGCACCGCAATAATACTCTCGAATGGCAGTGGAGGTGCACCCTCCTCTTCGCACCCTCTCGCGATACGCGCACTCTGCGTCTCCGGGATCACACGTGCGCGCGGATGTGTATCACATATACGTATGTACGTTCGTTACGTACGTAACGACCGCACTCCGACAGTCAAATGAAAATTTCGCTCGTACCAAAGCTCGCCCTTTATGACTTCGGCCGGTCTTGCTTTCGCGTTCGCCAAAAATTCTATCTTTAAAGCTCGCATTTGTAATTTTAACTTTAAAGAGCTCGAATGAGTTTAATTTTAAAATTTAAAATAAATCAGAGATCTTCAAAAAATAAATTGGATATTCAGTTTACGTCACGGTTGTAATCACGATTCAAAGAAATTCAGATTACAAGTTCAGCTTACATTTAATCGTTTTACGTGACAAAAGCCTCAATCTGCGTCTTTTGAATTTTTTAAAGAATGTATAATTACGTATCAATAAAATCTCTTCAATTCTCTTCAATTAAATTATAACTTTGGAAAAATCGTCTATTCTTGAAGTTTATCTCGGATAATCTATAATTGCGTCAGATTTTAAAATAAACATTTTTTTATAATTTTATATAACGTGTGTGTATTTCGTATATTTTTTAAATAATTTTTATATTTCTTATAAAACAGAATACATAAAATTATATGTAAAATTCTATTCTACATTCCGAGACGAGTTATAGATCATGTGAAATATAGACTTTAAATAGATATTTATAGTTCTTACATAAATCCTATTTCAGAAGCATCATGTAAACATGAAAATAATATTTCATATCTTAAAACACGAACGATTCAACAGTCACATTTTCACATTTTTGAAAGGCTGATTAGTAGTCAGGATATCAAAAACTTCCTCTAACTTCGGCAATACCGTTACTTATCGTTCCACTCCAAGCGCACAAGCACATTAAACTATTTCCTTCCGATGAATAATCAAGCGTACCTGTTAACGTTTGATAGATTGAAAATTATCGACCTGGATGTAATTTATTTGAGAGCGTCCTATAGGCGCATATAATACAGTGTAATTAAAATATGATCATTCACAAAATAATTAATTAAGTATTATGAAAATTATTTCATTTGTCACATGTTTCCAAGTGATAGGATTATCGTCCAATATATCCTTTTAATAAGTTTAAAAATTTTTCAATTATACATGCGCGCAGCGAAACGTCAACATTGAAGATATTTTGAAGATAACTGTCAATAATAATCATATCAATTAGAGAAATTATCGAATCTAAACAGATTATAAAAGTCTCTCTCACAGATTATAAAAGTCGTAGAATTTTGTACAGTCCAAATCCATAAATTCTCGATCACTTTACGCAAAGTTTTACAAAAAAAGAGAAAAAGATACAAAAGAAAAAGCTAAGAAAAAATGTTCTACGTAAAAATATTTTATGATTTAGCCGTATAACTTTTGAAGGAACTCGATACTATTTCGATAGTTTTCAAAGTATGAAGAAAGTTGATAATTGGAAAGTCGATACGTATCCGTATTATTAGATTTACGCTGTAAAAATGTTCATTATGCGGCTGTGAGTGCACACGTGAAAAACTATATAGTCGCTCGCGGAGATATTTAAAGCTGAAATATTCTTTCGGCATTGACAATTTACAAGATTCACGTGATTAAGAGGTTCTTCTTGATGAAATGAAGTAGAAATCGAACATATATGTTGATCATAATATCCTAAATCTTCGTGCAATATTGTATTATGCATTCATAACATTATAAAAATTACAAAATTGTTCACACAAGTACGTTTTCCTTAATCCTATTTCCGTCAAGTTAAGAAATATTTTCGCGGTAGCGAGATTTTTTTCGACTGAGACGAAGGTAACTTTCGCTTCTCGCTTCTTCCGCTTTCTCTCGCTGTATTTCCTAATCTCGTTCCTGTTTCTCTCTCTCGTGTTTTACTGCGGCCGATTCCTGAGGCGTGTGAGAAGAAAATAAAAGCCACCACGACGACTGGCATCGACTATCCGTTCGTTTTATCAGGTTTGCTAGCGAAGCTATTACTTACGCGTTTCCTTTTATTTTGGCTTTCGTTTTCTCACCGCGGTGATCGCGTTACACGCTTCGCAATTTCTCGACGCAATTCTCACGTGCACTTAGCGAATACACTTTTTCTCTCGCCAAGGCGCCTCCCGTTTGCATACAGCTAATCTCTTCTCACCGAGGTTTACCATTGGTTTGTTTCTTTAAATATTCTACCGTGAGAAAAGCAAATCCAAAGTTCTTTACTGCGTGCAAGATTTGAACATACTTACCAGAACTCAATGTTTTCTTTCTTATAAAACATATATATTAATTTATTTTACTCGAGATAAATATTTTCCCTCTTACTTTCTCCAACAAAATGCCTCTGAGATTTTTTTCATTCTTTGTTTAATGTCGTGTATGGAAAAGGAATAGGTATTTAATTTGATTATCTCTACTAATCCGATTTGATTCTTATCTTACGACAGGTAATACCGAAGCTGTCTACCGTTGTCACATTAATACATGTGCCCATTAGGGTAATTTACACGCCGCGTTTGGCGAGCTAAACCTTGTATTTAAGCTATCCAGGAAATCAAGTTGCAGACAGGAAATCAAATGAGGTACGACTGGTGAATAGGCCAATCGCCGATAATAGGGCTACTAAGGATTATTGTTCTAAGATAATCCTCTCACATTGCATGTGAACTGTCGAATCTGTCGAAAAGAAGAGAGAATACCGAGAACGAATAGGAATTGGAAATACTTTCATGAGACATGGGTTTCTGATAACGGACACGCGTGATAAAATAACACAAAACTCTCTTCAATATATCAAATAACATTTAAATAAAATTGTTTCTATACAAAAAATACAGGATTTAATTTTCCGAATTGCCGAGTACTCGAATTACGGCGGGGCAATGTCGATCGGCCGGGTCCGATTAGTTACAAATATTCGATTTCAATCGCTAATTTTAAAGCTTACCCATCGGTAGCCCAAGTGAATCACAAGTGAAACAATGATAAATGTACTCCTCAAATCCGACGGAATGGTTTCGCGTATCGTAACAAAGAAATTTGATCAATTCATTCTTCCGACATTCGTGAATGGGAGATTTATCGACCTCTTTCCCCATCAAAGATGATGTATATCATTTTATTAATAAAAAAGAGAGAGCTTTCTCCTTCAAATAAAATTTCACCCTTGGATGCAGAGAGACGTATGGATAACGAAACCTCTCTCGCATATTCATTCGCTCGCCCCACTTGATCTGAAAAAGTGCAACTGCAGTTTCCGGTATTCTCTCTTCTACTAATATCAATAGATTCCTCTACTTCTCTCTCTCTCTCTCTCTCTCTCTCTCTCTCTCTCTCTCTCTTTAACAAACTTTTGTACAATAACCATACCATACCCGCTATAATACTATAGCCAAACCAGCACATCGCGGCATATTAAATTTCTTCGTTAACTATGCATTGTACTACCGATTATAGGACCCGTTATAATTATGACGGTAATTATAATGTCTCGTTACCGATGCGCTCCGCGACTTATAATAGAAGTATGTATAAGGTTGTCATAACACTCTCCAGTTGGATAATAAAAGGTCTGAAGACATTTGAAGGTAGAAAAATACTATATCAAAAAGTACTATATCACACTGAAACTGAATATATTCCATCGATGAGGGATTTTGATGCAAATTCGATAATGTTTAAGTCTCATTTTGGTCTATTTTTCACAGTTTAAAAATAATTTTGAATAAAGAATCATCTGTAAAAGAAAAAGTTTATGAAATATTAAATTAATCGAAAAATTCAATAAATAAAAATCAGTTTTATTTCTATATCAAGTTATTAATTATCAA